ATTTAGCCATTTCAACAGTAAAATGATGATACCTTGTCGTCAATCTAGTACTGCGCTTAAATTCATAAAGTTTTGATATCATAGAGGAAAGTTTATAAGAACAATTACCATGAAAGTATTTATAGAAAAGGCACAGGGAAACTAAACTACGATAATGGAAAGGTGGCTAAAGTCGAGATGCCAAATCAGAACTAATAACATTGCAGATTCTTCCTTGGATTTTATCAAGAAACTCTAAATAGAGAGCAGGAGTGCCTGACCATATGTGGCAGCAATATTCAAAGCAAGAGCGAATGGTAGTAAGATAGATTCTGACGTGTTTCCTTTTCTGCTGATTATTATAGATCTTTTCATTCCTTTTACTGCGTTTGTTTATTGTGCTAGTTGTTTTCTTGTATTTTACAGTAAAGAAAGAACATTTACTTTCACTCATAAACCTCTTTCTCATCGACTAAAAATCTAGAACGCTATCGGAAACTAGAACCTACTGACATTTCTATTTTTAAAACAACCTGCTTTCTGCTAGCCCTATGGAATGTGAAATTGTGTTTCATCTCTTCTAATCACTTTTCTTTCTCTTCTCTTTTTCTTTCATCTTTTTTTCTCTTTCTTTTTCTTTCTTTCTGTCTCTTCTTTGTTTCTCGACTTTGTTTCTAAGTCTTTTCAATATCCACTTCTTTCTAGCTATATATATATATATATATATATATATATATATATATATATATATATATATATATATATAAAGTAAAAAGGTTTGTCGCTTTGCTGATTGACGTTACCTTCAGCATCCTGACTCCAGAGTTTAGTAAACAGATCCGTCAGTCCACTCGTCAGAGGGTATCAACAATAGTAATTTTCTAAAGAAGTAATGGATTATTTATTCATTTATCCGGTAGATTTTTATTGGATGCTCATATTTGAATAGACGCTCTGTTTATTTGTTAAACAATACATTTATTTATTTTCGTTTACGGGCCTGAATTTTCGAGAAATCTTATCAAAGAGAGAGAGTGGGGAGCGCGTATTTTTTCTTTAATAAGCTTTCTTGAATATTCAGGCCGGTAGATGAAAATAAATAAGCTATGGAATTTTTACAAAACAAGCGTTTCAATATAAGGGAGCTGACCGGAATTTGATAGAAATGTAAAATGGCATTAAATTTTATATGCATTTTACTATGTTGTTACTACATTCGTAATAAATTCTGTTGAGTGTTGGTTGGTTGATTTTGATATAGACGGCCTCGAGTACTTGAAGTTTTTCTTTATTATTTTCGTGTTGTAGTATATTGGTTCTGTCAACAAGTATTTTTCTGTATTGTGAAGGTGGACAGGAAATATGTTTTAGATGTTGCGAAAGAGAAGAGCACTTGTATCAAACAAATGAAGTGTAAGACGTCTTGATAATGTGGCCGTCAAACAATATACTTACTTTCTTGTCAGGGATACAATCTCCCAAAGGACATTTAAACTGATATACAATGGTGTTTTTTCAGAACACTAGTTGACGAAGAATTGTTATTGCGTATGATTAAATTTAGTATAATATATAATTTTTTTCAACTTGGATCAGTGGGGATTATATTAGTACTTATGAGATTTTTTTAGAACTTTTTCATCCTGTTTATAGTTAGAATGCACTTGATTACAGTATAATAGGTTGGTATGTTTAGGGTGATTTGAGGAAGAATTATGTTCTTTTGGATTTATTAATTAAATTCATTAATATTTTTAATGACTCATCTAATTTGTTGATCAACGCTGTCATTAGGAAAATCATTATTAATGAGTTTATGCTGGTTGATTCTTTATATGGGAGGATAGTAAATGTATTATAATTGGTACCTGTCAATACATCAAGAAAAGGGATTTCATTATTAATGTTAAGTTCATATTTGAAGTTAATAACGGAGGGTTTTTTTAAATGCTTTCTTGCAGTTCATGTATTTCATCTATGTTTTTTTTTACTAAGAATATCATCTATATATCTTAGGAACTGGTGTTAAATATCTCATTTTCATGGTTAGCCATGTACATGTTACTAAATGTTGGGCCCTGAACTGATTCTATGGAAACGCCATCACATTGTATGTAGGTGTTATTTTAATGGCCATAGAAGGGAATGTCGTTGATACAAGTCAAAAGTAGTTTTCGTAATATATTAGATTTTTATTTTTAGTGAAGGAAAAGGTGTATTGTTGTAAATATTCTTTATATATATATATATATATATATATATATATATATATAATCATTTCACCTCAAGCAAGGCAAGAAATACACTAAGACACAGAGGCTTACTGAGTGTGAAAGAATATACGAAACATAAAAGCATTATTCAGGACCAAAGCAATAAAAGAACAGAAATCAAGAAGACATAAGATAAAGATTGACATTGCATTTAAATTTTTGAAGATCAAAATTTTCTGGAAAGCCAGAAGCTGCAAAAAGATCCTTTTTGTGTTTATAGACACGTTTATTTGTAAAAGTTTTTCAAGTTTCCCCAATATATTGCAAAGAAGAGTTGTAGCAGTCTTTTTTAAAAGAAATACTCCTTTCCCAAACCAACATACATAACTATAATTATTTTTTTAAATTGAAAGAAAACGGTTAAATTCAAAACGTCAAATTGCTTAAAATATATAATACATAATTATTTTCTCAAAGTAAAATAATATGAATAATAATTAAGTTATAAAAAAAATCAACAGCAATAACAACATTTACTCACTTTCGTTTATTCGACATTAAATTACATCACTTAGTATCTTCCATAATTTACCTTGAAGCTAAGTTAGAATGTAGTATATTTATGAGCGTTCTTAATTTTAAATATTCAAAAAAAAAAATAACATTTTTACTTCTGTGTATAAATACTTGTTGCAAAATAAAATCCTCACATTTGCCTTGATAAAGTCCATAAGGGGGGTGGGGGAGACGCGTCGATTAAGAAAAGTTTTCTTTTTGTCTTTATTCATATTGTCTTTCTACAGATATATTTTTAGTTCTGTCTGATTTTTTACACACACAAACACAGGCACACACATATATGGGATAACGATATATACATTTTTAACAAGAATAAAATTAGGGGAAAGAAGTATGACAAAAGTTATTCTTTCGCCTAAAATTGTTTTTAATATATAAATATATATATATTGGTGCTGTCAAAAAGTATCCTATACTGTCGACATAGAAAAATACCAAACAACAACAAAAATATAAAAACTTTTTCCACTTTTTTATACTTCTTTCTCCTAATATACACCCCTGTCTAGAAAAATAGATTTATCTGTAACCTTGGAAACATGAATTTTGTTTTAGCTGTGTATTTAAAACCCAGTATTTTTAAAAGTTACTCCAAAATTCGCTTGAGGATGAAATGGAACTAATGTCTTTAATTTAATTACAAAATTAAATTCGGGGCTTTTAGCTTCCATTTTTGAAACATGGTTAGAACTGTGTAGCGAAAAAAAACATATTTTAAATCAATTAATTTATAATATTAATGCTCTGTAAATTTACAATGAGCACTATTTTTGTAAAAATAAAAATATCTATAAGAACACCGGATTATATATCTTACTGTTCTTTCTTTTTATTTATATACATACATACATACATATATATATATATATATATATATATATATATATATGGTGGTACTCGTTTGGAAAAACCTCGGATAGCTTAACTTGTAGTAGAGGAAAAATGGGAATTAAAAAAAGAAAGAACCAAGAACATTAAAACAAGGCGAAAACAATCGTCAAATGTTTAACCCCCAAGTCCAAAGAAGAAAAAAAAAACGAGTAAAAAGGATAAAAAAAACAACTACGTATAGTGCTCAGTACACTAAGTAGAGCGAACCTTAAGTAATCCTAAGGAGCCAGGTAAACCTACCTAGGTTTGCCTGGCTCCTTAGGATTACTTTATATATAAGGTACGATGAGAACAGAGTACAATTCCAACGTTCGTAACATCTAATTTAAAAGAGGGCTCAATACAAAGTAAACCAATATTATTTATTTTAGGATATTAATCCGGTAAGACGTAAAAAATCGCTACACAATTGCAGTCTTGTTTCAATGCGTATCAATGCATCTCATCAGGCATGATGAGATGCATTGATACATATCGAAACACGACCGCAATTGTGTAGCGATTTTACATGCTTTCGGTGTAATATCCTAATATATATATATATATATATATATATATATATATATATATATTAAAAGGCTGAAAATTGGGGGTTGGGGAAAGATGCTGGTCTTCATTATCCTGCATTAACATGTTTTATTATTCCTTTTTCTACAACATATCTTCTGACTTTTTCGTGCCACACTCGCCAAGACATCGCATATATCTACAATTTTTATGTATGTAAGGGAAAACACACACACACATTCTTTCTCAGGCAGTATAACACATGTACATACTTATTCATTTTCTCGCTGACAATTTTTTTTTTTTGCCTCTTCTTATTTTAACCTTCACTAATTTGAATAATACAATTTCTCTTTCCCCCTTCCTATTCTACTGGCTTACGGCCATATCACGTTGAAACATTGGTTCTCATAAGATCACCGTCATTATGCAAGCAATATTTAGATGTAAGCTTGGATGTGCAGGGCTGTAATTGATAATGACTCTTTGCAATTCCAGTAGGGTTCGTTATATTCACTTACGTACAAATATCCATGGAATAGTTATAAATCCGCCTCTTCTCCTCGTAGCTATGGGTTAATTAGTAGGACTTGTATTAGTAAATCATTATTATGATCAATATCATCTCTGGCTTTAAATAACCTGCAAAATTTCATAAGGTGTAAAAATCAAATCAATCAAGCAATCAGTCTTACTCTATTTTTGTATTACTTTCTTTCATTCTTTCATCTTTCTTACTTTCATCCTTTCTTTAAATCCTTTCATCTTTTCTTTCTTTCATCCATTCTTCTTTCTTTTATCCTTTCATTTTTCTTTCTTTCATCATTTGAGATTTTCTTTCTTTTATCCTTTCATTTTTTCTTTCTTTTATCCTTCTTTCTTTCATCCTCAAATCCTTCTTTCTTTCATCCTTTCACCTTTCTTTCTTCCATCTTTATTTCTTCCATCCTTTCTTTAAATCCTTTCATCTTTTCTTTCTTTTATCCTTTCATTTTTCATCTTTCTTCCTTCCTTTCATCTTTTTTTCTTTCATTTTCTTTTAAACTTTCATTTTTCTTTCTTTCATCCTTTAATCTTTCTTTGATTTTTTCTCTTTTCTTTCTTTCTTTCTTTCTTTCTTTCTTTCTTTCTTTCTTTCTTTCTTTCTTTCTCCCTCATACTTTTTAGTTATATTAACTCACATTTTACTCAAAATTACTCCATCATGTGCATATTTCCTTACGAAATCTGTTCCTTTCTCTCGACTCCTTATCTCACTACCTAGTTATTTATCACACTATTTGTAAGACTAATAAAACATCTACCATACAGTTTTTGTTCAAGAGCGCGTGTACACTTTTCTTGCTCTCCTTCCTTTTTTACGAACTCTCAGCAAAATTTCCCACGTATTTTCTAATATACATTCTCACCCTTTTTCTATTCGTCTTAGGTAGATCAATCAATGCCTAATGATAAAGAAAGCATTTATTTTACGCAATCAATATTTATTTTTCAACATAATCTCCTTCCTTGTCAATGCACTTAATTCATTGATTGAATGAGGAATAACCAAAATGGAGTTTGCAAATGAAGTGGTAATCTTTATAGCACCAACAAAATACAATACTCGCCAGCAGCATGAAGTAGGTAAACCACTGCTAGTGGTGGACTACATATTACCCACCACACACACACATTTACAATAGTGTCCAACGTATTTATGAGCATTGGGACATACCCATTAATGTTCATAGGTACAGTATATAACAAATATTGATCACATCGTTCGAACATTCTCAGATCAAAATTTAGTTAACTGTGTCAGGCTACATATTTATTGATCCCACCTCGTATTTTTCGCTCTTTCCATTTATATTATTTCTCATTCTCTTTTGGCAACTCTTAACCCTTCCCCATACATAATTTCCGATTAATCAGTGCATCATCATAATTGTCATCATCATCAGTATCATCCTTCTATTACTACTACTACTACTACTACTACTACTCCCGATCTCGTTTTCCCTCGTTTCTCTCTCTTATTTTTCACACTGTAATTTCTATAGATATATATTTGCAGCTTGCGCGTTTACTTCGTTTGATGAACGAGACGAACACGGAAGAGGATTACATGACTGAGGCGACCATATTCGTAAGCAACAAATGGGACTCCATCCTAGCGCAAGAAAGGCAAGAAGTAAGAGAGGACACGATGCAGAAACTCCGGAGGTACTATCCCCAACTTCGAGACGAGCAGCTCATTTGTTTGTCTATCAATAACGTAAGTATATGTTTATGCAATTACACACTCACTCACGCATTAGCTCTCTCTCTCTCTTAGTATATACAGTATCACATTCTCTAATTTTCTAATAGATACATCGTTTCTCTTGATTTACTATCCCTTCTGTTTTGCAAAACAGAAGTAATATTAAATCAATAATTTGAATACATATATTAATTCTTTCTTAATCCCTTTTCCTCTCTATTTTTCTTTTCTTTTCTACTTTTTTCTTTCTTTTCTTTCATCTTTCTTTATTTTTTCTTTCTTTCCTTATATTTCTTTTCTCATAATTCTTTTCTTATCTTTCTGTTCTTTTCTTTTTCTTTCCTTTTCATCTTTTACATTCTTCTTTCTTTCTTTTTTCTACTTTTTTCTTACATCTTTTATTTCTTTGTTTTCTTTTTCTTTATTTTGCTTTCTTTTTCTTTCTTTTTTTTCTTTGCATTTTTTCTTTTCTTTCCTACTTTGTTTTCTTTCCTTACTTTCTTTTCTTACCTTTCTTCTTTTCGTAACATTATTTTTCCTTTTCTTTCCTCCTTGATCTTTTCTTTCTTTCCTCTCTTCACTTCTTCTTTCCTTATTTCTCAGACATTTTAGTAAATCTTAATTCACCTCCCATTCATATTGTAATTACTCTCTCATGAGCACATATACATGTCTTCTGTCCTTTTCTCTCGATCCCTTGTCTATCTATTTATCGCATGATTTATAGGCCTAACAACACATCTCCTATGCATTCTTTGAATAACTTCTCTCTCTCTCTCTCTCTCTCTCTCTCTCTCTCTCTCTCTCTGTGTGTGTGTGTGTGTGTGTGTGTGTGTGTAAGAAGAAGAAACAAGAGAATATACTACGCTTATTACCGTTATAATTCAATGAATATTTCACTACTGTTTGAAGGAAAAAAAAGCCAATGTTGTGCTTTATGTTTCTCTTACATTCAGGAAAAAATGATCAAGTATCTCTATCATTTTATTTATATTCCTTTCTATCACAACCCTCAGACTACAATTCAGAATTATAATTACTAAGTCTGCTCTTTAGGAAAGTTGGTTTCCTCTGTCGTGCTAGACAATTTTTCTCACCAGAATCTATCTTAGATGAAAATAATTACTGTTGTGGATTCCGTGAATGGAATCCTGCACAAATAAATAAACAACGCCAGCAATTGAAATAGTAAATAAGTGTATTAAACGTAAGAATACAGACTTGAAGTGAAGATTAGTAGTCCAGGAATGCGGGTTAGTAGAAAGTATATGTACAAGTCTCTGTAAGTGAAGCCGTAATCATATATATATATATATATATATATATATATATCTGGACTCTTGTATAACTATATGAGAACACCCTGTGTCTGTCTCCGTATCTCTCAACGTATCTCACAAGCAGGTATTCTCTCTGTCAGTATAAGCATACTTTGGACGAGTCCATCTTGTGTAAAAAGGGGAGAGCCCCACAACAATTACGAAAAAGAAATTTAGACTGCATCCATGCTCCTTGCTAAAGTCCCTGGAATGACTGCCTGGATCTTTCTTTAATCATTTCACCCCAAGGAAGGCCATAAAACCACTAAGACGCAAGACGTTACTTTGCGTTAGACAATATGAAAATAAAACCACTGTTAAGGAGAGAGAGAGAGAGAGAGAGAGAGAGAGAGAGAGAGAGAGAGAGAGAAAGAGAACATTAAAAGGACAACAATTAAGAAGACAGTAGATAACAATTGACGTTACATTTAAATTTTTGAAGATCAATGTTGACTGGGAAGAATGAAACCGGAAGAGAGTTCCCCAAGCGAGAAGTACGAGAAAAAAAAACTGTTAGCATAGAACTGTTATATTTAGCTATTTCAACTGTAAAATGATGAGATCTTGCAGACAATCTAGTAGCGTGCTTAAATTCATAAAGTCTAGGTACCATAGAGGTAAGTTCATTAGAATTATCATGAAAGTACTTACAGAATTAGTACAGGTAAGCTACATTACAGTGGTGGGAAAGTGACTGAATGTGAGATGCCAGGTCAGTAGAAATAACATTGCAGATTCTTTTGGGGATTTTATCAAGAATCTTTAAACATATAGCAGGAGCATTAAACCAGATATAGCAGCAATATTCAAAGAAAAGAAGAATGGTAGACATAAATATGTTAGATTCTGGCGAGAAAAAATGTCTAGCACGCCACAAGAAACGAACAATCTTAGAAGCAGACCTAGCAATTGATTCAATATGATCTTTCCACTTCATGTCTACGGAAAATGTTAATCCGAGAAGGCACAATGAAACACTTTTCTCGAGGTTAGCATCAGTCATGCTGATGGAAGATAAAAAAGGTTCTCTCAGACGATAGATTTACAAGCTGTTACTTGCCCCAGTTAACAACAGAAAATAGATCATTTTTAGGTCAGCTGGCAATTTAATCTTATCGAAACCTTCAGACTTACTATTAAAACAGCAATAAATGATTGTGTCATCAGCATAGATATCGAGTTGAGAACTGGTGCCATCAGGAAGGTCGTTGATGAAAATAAGGAACAACATGAGTCAAGGATAGAACCCCGAGAAAACCCTGCATTAATGCAAAAGGATCTAGAAGAGAGGCCGTTCAAAACCAATTTCATTTCGCGATTTGATAAGAACAACGAAATCAATTCGAAAATTCGTCCAGAAATACCATAATATTTGAACTTTTGAAGAAGACTAATATCCAGACCTGTCAAATGTCTTGGAGATATCCCAAGTAACAGACCGAACTTATATCCAAACCCTGTCAAATGTCTTGGAGATATCTCAAGTAACAGACCGAACTTAACTATTCTTATGTAAAGCTTGATAGAAAAAAAAACAAAAGTCAAAACCCTATACTATAATATAAAACACAATGTAACTTTATCGATGACTCAGCCTGATTTGTTCTTACTAATAAAATATTCCATTCTCATTATAACAAGAACCATTACTCGACATCAATAAGCAAACATGCCTCGTTTTATCATGTCTACAGGATATTTCATTAGTAAGTAGGGAGATATGCTAATAAATTGCATTGTATTTTTTATGCTTCATGTTAGCGTCTTTGTATATTTTTTTTCTTTTTATAATTTAATAATTGGAATGGCTACCTACATATGACAATAAATTTAATTTTGTTAGGCTAAATTGACTTGACAACTTAGCGAGTGTCCCTGAGAATAGCATGTGAATCAGACATAGAGAACAAATTTACTACAGGGAAACATTTATTTAACAGAACCAACAAAACGTTAGAAATTAACAATATATACAAAGTAATATAAGTTGAATGTATTCATAATCATGGCGCTGCTCTATATAAGATAAAATTAACAACTTATTGAAATTTAGAGTTAGTAAAATCTCTTTAGGTCTTGCACACGTGTTACTTGAACGCTGCCATGTCTCCAACTGTTTTTAGTAATCTCACGTGACTGCTGACGCTTCACATGATGTTGACGACATTATTTGTGTCTACACTTGTATAGGTAGAAGGTTTAGATGATTCGTAGAGAAAATATATCCAGAGTAAGTGTGACATGACTAAAATATTCTAATTTTCTGATGACACAGTTTAACTTGTTAATAGTAACTTGCCAATGTTTCATCACGGGATGAAGTAACAATAATATTTCTAAAGTCTCTTCAAATAAAACTTTAAATTGAAAAAAAAACGTTTGCAAGGTTAATTATTTGCTTTAATAATAATGACATGATTAATTCTTTGCCCTAATAATGACATGATTAATTATCTCCTTTAATAATTCCAAGGTTAATTATTTGCACTAATAATGACATGATTAATTCTCTGCTTTAATAATTGCAATGTTAATTATTTGCTTTAATAATGACATGATTAATTCTTAGCTTTAATATTTGCATGGTTAATTTCTTCCTTTAATGATATGGTAAATTCTTTGATTTAACATGATTACTTCTTTGCTTTAATAATTACACAGTTAATTATTTCTTTTCATAAGGACAGGCTTGAGACTTTATGATTAATTCTTTGTTTTGATAATGATATGGTTATTTCTTAGCTATAACAATGACATGATTAATACTTTGCTTTAATAATGACATGATTAATTCTTTCATTTATTTATGACATGATTCATTATTTGCTTTAATAATGACATGGTTAATTCTTTGCTCTAATAGTTATTTGGCCAATTTTTTGATCTTATTATATTTTTCTCTTGTTCAGCTAACGTTCCAACTAAAAGAAAAAGTGGTCACGCCGGAACTCAAGGAGTTTTTCTCTGGACTCCGAAAACTTATACCAGCCACGCTAAAAAATAAAACTTATTGCAGTTATAAGTGAGTATAACAACTCTTATAAAATAATCCATATGAGTAAAAAGTATAAGTTTATAAATATATAAGTATAAATATATGTATAATTTAAATTTATAAATAATAATAAACGTATAATGAAGTAGAACATTTAGCAACATACTTTTTCTTTCTCCCATTCAGTTTTTTGGTTTCTTTTAATTAGTATCACCACATGAAAAACATTAAAGCCACTAGGACACAAGGGGTTACATATTTTGGAAGAATTAGAAACAGAAACATTCATAATGAGCGGGAAAAGGAAAGATTAATCAGGACAGTAGATAGCGATTGACATTGCATTTACATTTTTGCATTTACAAGCGCGAGAAATGAAACTGTCCTCTGAGAATTTACAGTTACATCTCGCCAATTTTACTGTGAATTGATGAGATATCGACGCCTGTCTAGTACTGCACTTAAATTCAAAGAGTCTAGGCATCATAGCAAATAGATCCTCCGAACAATTACCATGAAAGTATTTATAGAAAAGGCACAGCGAGGCAACGTTACGGTGGTGGGAAAAGGACTGAAGCCGAGCCGCCAGATCAGGACCTATAATATTGCTGATTTTTATTTAGATTTTAACGAAGAGTTCAAGGTAAATAGCGGGGGCACCGGAACATATGTGACAGCAATATTCTAAGCATGGACAAATGGGAATTCTTGCCTATGTAATCCTAGTTTTTATTAACTTTTCAATTTTAATTAACTTTTTATAATTAAGAAACAATTGTTTACTTTGATCATTATATTAATCTTTATAATAACTCTTTTACATTTACTGGCAATGTTACTTAGTCACAAGACCATTCCAAATGCAAGAGGTATTCAAAACGTCTTAGGGTGGAACTGTTATCTGCAGTCATTAGGACAAGCAGATAATGTAACTGTTTCCAATGTCTGGCCTAGACTATTACGTTCCCTTTCTGACTGATGCTCGTCTCTTCTCCCCTATGGCTGTGGACTAAAGTAGATTGGTTTATCTAGACTTGGTTAACAACTAGTCTTTCAGAAGGACAATTCAAACCCACTCAAATATCTTTCGCAAGAATTCACAAATAATAAAGAAAAAGAAGTCTGTGACAAATCATGATCGACTATGTCCTGATGGGACATGACATTTTTTTTAATTTATCACCCACTGCAATGGCAAATTGATGTCTCTGAAACGGATTGATGTTTCCGAGGTTGTGTGTGTGTTTTTGAAACCAAGTCTCTTCTTAGAAAAACAGGTGAATATACATAAATCGAAAGATGTAACAAAAGAAAATGAAACTAATTCCGCAAAACGTGATTAGAGACCACATGAACATCATTGCTCTCTATTTGATAACAATTGATATAGTTATTATTTTGTGGCCATTGTTTGAAAAGATGTGATTGTGGCAGAAACATAGTCAAGCTACCTTGTGATGGAATAGAATGCAAGGAGGGTTACATTCCAGCCTTTTTCAAAGATTTTAGTTTGGAAACAATTGAAATAATTCAAACTTTGTCTCCGATTTCAATTTCTAAGTTGATAATCAACATCAGTATAAATAAAAAATAACCCAATGCTGATGTTTATTTCTATTTCTATGTTTATTCCCATCATGTTCAAAATATAACGGCTGAAACTTTTTTTACAGTAAGGTTCACATTGTACAAGGCCCGGGAGGGCCCTCGAGGTAGAGGGTTAGGGTTAGGAGGTAATTTGTGCGGATAGGAGAAGATAATGCTTAACCCTAGCGTTGAACAGGTTAAGATTGTAGTGATCAGGGAAGCATCCAATTGGGAATCTGTTCCACAGATCAATGGTTCACGAGAAGAAGCTGTTCGAGTGGAACTTACTACTCGCCGATGGAATACGGAGATAATGTGGGTGGTTTGCAACTATGTAAGTGGTATGGCTTGTCCTTGTCGTGAAGGTTGGAGCTGGCAGGATCAGGGAATGCAGTTCGTCCGAACACTTTCAGTGAAAGTAGCGAGTTCCACTTGAGCTCAGGTACGAGTTTTAGGCTCAGTAGTCTTTCAAGGATCGGTGTCTGCCCGAGGGTGCATCCGTTCATCTTGACTGGTGGTAGTTCGGGGTCCGATGATGGAATGTAAGTAGTTTAGTTTTCGAGGCATTGAATGTTACCAGCCAGTTTCTAGTTTGTGCTAGATCGTAAGAGAAATCAGTTGCCAATCTCTGACCATCAAAAGGCAGATCATTTACGTAATACTTAGGCAGATCATTTAAGTAATTCAAAAGGAATGTTAGTCCGAGGAGTAATTTCTGGGAGGCGCTTGCGTTGACCGCTAGGGCTCCGGAGAACTGGCCGTTGATAACTACCTTCATGGACCTACCTGTTAGGAAGGATTTTATGATCGAGGGATACTTCCAGTGATTTCATAACTGGAGAGCTTGTGTAGTAAACCTTTGTGGCACACCCTGTCTAAAGCCTTCGAGATATCTAATTCTATGGCCCTCTGTGTGCGTCTGTCGTTAAGAGCCTCACTAATTCTGTGAGTGATGATAGTTAGGACGACGTTAGTGGATCGGGCCGGGCGGAACCTATACTGCTCGTCGCTGAAGAAGTTGTTATTTTCTAGGTGCTCGATGAATTTCTTGATTATTGTATCAAAAAGCTTACTGATGATATTAAGGAGACTGATGAGTCTGTACTGGGGAGGAGAAGATCGCATGCCCGCGTTCTTGAAAACCGGGAATACGCTTCAAATATTTCACAGGCTTAGGAAGAATTTCTCCTTCAAGTAGCAACTGAATAACTTCGCTAGGATTGTAGTTAATTCCGGGTTGATTTTATTAAGGAAAACCACTGGAATTTTGTCTGGGCTAGTGGCTTTCTTAGCGTCAAGGCTTTTTATAAGTCTAGGGACTTCTCGTCCTGTAATGGTAATATTACTGAGATTGTGCTCAGTGAGACGTGAGAAATCGGGAAGGGGGATGGTCTTTGTCATCTAACGTTGAGTTTGAGGCAAAGATCGAGAAAAAGATGTTCGCCTTGTCTGTCGAAGAAGATATGACTCAAGGTCATTTATAATTGGTTAAAGAAATAACAAAAAAAATGTTACAGATATATCATATATTAAACACTAAGTACAACAGAAGAGAATTACACGACTAGTAAGTGTGTGTCGGTTGACCCAGCGTTCAATCTATTCGACTGTTATATTTAACAGCCCCCCCCACGAGGGATGTATGTGGCACAAGGCCGAGTTTACCGTGGGTTCTCCGAGCCCGTAGGCTCGGCCAAAAATATTCCCTTAGAAACCGCCTAAACGGGTTCAGGGACTGTCTACCTCCCCGGACGAAACTTTGCCCTGCGGCAAAGCCTCGTCCGGGTTCCTCTCTGCTCGAGGCAGACAGTTCGAAAGATGAACAATCTGGTCGATTGTTAATATTTAACAGCCACCCCCGCCCGACCACGAGGGATGTATGTGGCACAAGGCCGAATTTACCGTGGGTTCTTCGAGCCCGTAGGCTCGGTCAAAAATATTCCCTTAGAACCCGCATAAACGGGTTCAGGGACTGTCTACCTCCCCGGCCAAAACTTTGCCCTGCTTAGTATACCATGGGCCTAACATGTGACCAACAACGAGGTTTTGGAGAGAATAGAGACAAAGAGGAAACATACTTAAAATCAGGAAGACGTAGTTGAAATTTTGGGGGGACGTAATGAAAAAGGAGGGCTTGGAAAATTTGATACTCACAGGACAGGTAGAGTGTAACATACTTGATGGACTTGAGCAAGTGGGTGGCGGAACAGGGTTTAGGAGAAATAACAAAAAGGCAAAACTTATTAAGAGCTACAAGTGACAGGAAGGTGTGGAGGGCTATGATCTCTTACACCCTGAAAGAACACATGACATAAAGAAGAAAAATTACAAAGCCGCCAGTGGTCACGTGAACCAAACTTGTTAGAGGCTATATGGTGCCTCTTTCTATCCCAACTAGTGAAGAGAATTTATCCTGGTTTTGTAGATAATAATTCTGAACGTCTAAAGTATCCTGCCTGTATTAACTTTGTGGGGAATGGGTGCTACAGGATAGTAATGGACGAGGTCACCAGTTTTTAACGGAGTTGCAACTTGTTGCTGATGAGGATGAAAATGTCCAAAGTTTATAGATTCAACATTTCAAAAGAAACGTGTTCAACATGTGAAGAATTTTTATGTTTTTGTATAAAGCATAACTCATTCAAGAAGATAGAAAATATATTTTCACGTTAAGCTGATGAAAAAGAAGAAAAAGATTTATAGGCTTTGCTGTTAACAGAATATGGGGATGGTGTTGTGCCACGTGGCTGGCTGAAATTAAGAAGACGGACTGTCGGGAGAATAAATCACCCCCGATTACGAAACGACCTGTTGTTTTCGCTAGTACATTGCGGGACAAAAGAGGAATAGGTATTATTATCCATCCTTTTATAGTCCTTAGCAGTAACCACATGGCGAGCGTCTTAGCAGATAAGGTATAGATAATCTACTCAAGCTCAATTCCACGACACTAATAAAGAGTAGAGTGGCATTCCAATTAGCAAATCTATCACTTTAACAAATTAACGAAAATATATCAGTAATAAAGCAGCATTGAGCAAATTATCCGACAAGAAATATATATTCAATGTTACCAGTTTTCTTTAGATATTTTACCCAGAATTCCTGAGTAAAACACACTTTCTTTCTCTTACTCCAGTCATTCTCTCTCTTTCTCTCCTCTCTCTCTCTCTCTCGCTCTCTCTCTATCACATACACACCCACTTTCCTTTTTCGTGTATGTTTTTCTTTCTTTTAGTTTCTCATGATCCTTCTTTTCCATATACACACTCTCTCCTTTTCTTCCTCTCTTTCTCATTCTTTAACTCTCTCGCCCTTTATCTTTCACTCCTACAGTCCCTCTGTCTCAACCTCTTGATTTCTTTCTCTTATCTCTCTATCCCTCTTTCTTTGTTACAGACACTCTTTCTCAATCTCACTTATTACTGTAGAGTTGAACATTCCCACTCTATTTTATTCTCTCACTCTATTTTAATCTATCTATCTATCTATCTATCTATCTATCTATCTATAAAACGTGAAAAGAGTAAAATGATAACAGTTAATAAAAGAGGTTGAATTTTTCTTCTGTATTTTCCTTATCTTTTTAGGTGGCTGTCAAGTCTATTGAAACGTTCAGTCTATTCGCTAAAGGTGAAACAGAATATCGGCTACAATGCGATCGACAACAAAGCGGAATTGTTCAGCACCGTCCGAAGACGAATTGAAATGTTGGAGAAGAATTCTTTCATGGTCATTGAGGACATGAAGAACGAAGTACGGAAGGAAATGTCTTATATGAAAGAGAGTTTGATCGTTTATCTGAAAAAAGACACGGTAAGGCTTCAGGCGTTGTTAAAGGCCTTTAAAACAGGGAAACAAGAAACAAAGCCATTGATTTACATTAAACGGTATCTATCAGCGTGTCCAAAACACAACCAGAAGTGACACAAGGGCATGGTTTAAAGAGGGTCCATCGGCCGCAGTGTGGAAAAATTCCCAAGCCCCCATGCCACTTCCCCATTTGAGGACGCCTCAGGCGCCGGGCAAAGCCTGGGAGGATGCCCCGGGGCTTGGGCTTAATATTGAAAGTATATGAGGAAATCACATATACAGGGATTTTCTAGATGTAGCATAGATGTGGCACAAGGCCGAAAGTATGGAGCACCCAATGAGGATTGAATTCATCACTTAGTCGTAATTGATCTAACGAGAAACTTGATAACCATTACACCACATCAAAGTGCCCCCGATTTACATTTAAATATTTACTAAACTTAGTTTATTACAAAGGTCACAATAAGGGAACATCGAGTGGGAATTGATCTCAATAACAAAGGAAAACGAAAATAGCTCTGCTACAGGCGCCTCCTGTCTGATTAGCTGTGAATTTGAATATTTACTAAGAGTGCGACACAAATCTGAATATGGAAAAATGGGGGTATATGAAGATGTTGTGCCAATCCTGCGAGTGAAGAGATCCTGCTTACCTAACTGCTTTGGAATTTTAAATGCTGTTTTTACCTGGGCTCGAGCACCAAATAATGTTGCCATTGGTAGACATGCAACTATTTATACCACTAGGCAGGTCTAAGTTTATCCACGTCCTGGGTAAGACTATATCCGACAGCAAGGCTTTTGATCAGAAGGTTTTGAAAAGCGTGGAACCACATCTTAATTGCTGGTGTTCCCATTCCACCCTGTTAGGGTCCCAACTATGGGCAAATAGTTACCCCCACCCAAAAATGGCTCAAAACTCTATGAAAATATAAAAATAGGTTTTAATACCAGCAATACTTTTTTGGAAAAATTATTACTGGTAATACATTGTTTGAAAAAAATATTACCAGCAATAAAAATGCTGTCGGTATTAAATAACCCATTGAGGTTGATATGCCGTAAACCAAACTAAACCAAACAGTCAATCTTGATAATAGTATTCCATACTCATCTAGATAAGTTACTGCAATAGTATTATCTTCTTCGTCCTAGACAATTATCCAGGACTACTTATGAATGGATCAGTCCATTGATGATAATAAGGAGTGTAATTGGTTCTTACCACAAGACTCTCTGATCTATTATCCTATTTTTTTTATCTTTTTCTAGTTTGACTTGCTAATGATAATATACTAATATTAAAACGTTCTATTGTCATTTGTTATCAGGTGACGCGAAAATTGGATGAATGGGCTACCCATGATGCCCCACGTTCGAATGTTTCTCATTGGCGAGAACTGGGGCAAATCGCAATTGACATAGTCGGAGCTCGTATCGTCTCCATCGTTAACGAATGGGAAATGGAGTACAATATTATCACCGGACTGAAGACACGGATGGTGGGCAAATTCAAGCACAAATTTGAAAACATGGAGATGCAAATACACAAAATTGAAAGTAAGAACCTTCCTATATGTTTAAAATTCTTGCAATAAAGTACGAGCGCTTATTTCTTTAATTACGACTTTCCCAATCTTGACTGACTCTTCTACAGTAACCTTTACTAAATATTTCGTTTGAGCTGCGTAAGGTTGTTTTCTTTATAATAAAATTTGTATTGTTTGTTACAATAAAACCTCAGTGTTGCTATATCTTAGGTAGATATCAATTTAGGTTCTACTTGTGGTCTTTTTTTTTTGTGATTTGGTTTCGTAATATTTATTTCTGCTCAAGACGGATATCATACCAGTGATAAAATAGTCAGAAACTATCAAATACTATAAAATATCAACACAAATAGAATTCTATATAGAACTATATAATTTAATATTAGAAATAGAAGGTGGCCGAGAAAACGAACTTGGCGAACTAGTTCGAATTCCTCGTTTATATTATTTTCGCATAGAAAATTCTCCCATCACCCGCTCTCTCCGTGTCTTAACATCAATTGTCACTAACTAGAAAATTTCATGCTTTCTCTATTTTAATATTCTGACTAATCTTAATTCTTAAGTCAATAATTTAATAAGCTTATTGAGAGTTCTAAGACAACAAAATATCCATAGAAATGCCCCTATCGCATCATTCAATATTTGAGCTTAACCACTTCAACAAAATATTGCAGTAATAATCATAAATATGAATTCTGGTGGTTATTTAAAGAAGTAAGGGGGTACAAATGGGGAAAAAAAAGTAAAATTGACAACTTTTCCATTTCATTGAAACATACTTTAAAAACGACTTTAAAAACTTCTTTCTTTCATTTTCTCACTGAAACCAAGTAGCGTCTCTGATATGTCTTTTCCGTCTTTTCACGTGATCAAAACGGAATAGTCTATTATTCATGAGATATTGACAAGGCGTAACATAACGTGCGTGCTAACTAAGGAACTAAGGGAGAGACAAGAATTAAAATAAGATCATCCTTGTATCTTATCAATTATCATGAACAAAAATAACAGAGATGTATCCAAAATAACTGAGATGTTTAGTCAATATCATTCTTCGCCTAAATTATTTTATTGGCACCAAAATGGTAGCTATGTCGGTATAGAATTAGAAGATAGTATAATATTTCATCAATATTACTACATAAAACAATAGTGCTGTTGCAATAGAATTTCCGCCCAATCGGCTGGGGCTGTAGAATACGCCGACTGCACCTCTACATAGGGTTAAGACCCCGCCAATGGGCGTCCTGGGTAAGACGATAAACTACATCCGAGAGCAAGGCCTTTGATCAGAAGTTTTTGAAAAGCGTGAAATCACCTCTTAATTGCTGGTGTTCCCAGGTCCACCCTGATTCGGGGTGGTAGCACTTGTCAGGGTCCCATCTATGGGCAAATAATTAACCTCCTCAAAAGCGGGTCAAGGCACTATGAAAGTATAAAAATAGTTTTTAATACCAGCAATACATTCTGGAAAAATTTCCACCAGCAATACATTTTTGGAAAAAAATATTACCAGCAATAGATTTTGGAAAAAAGTATTACCAGCAATAGATTTTGGAAAAAAATATTACCAGTAATACACTTTTGGAAAAAAAAATTACCAACAATACATTTTTGGAAAGACAAATATTAACAGCAATACATTTTGGGGAAAAAAAATATTAACAGCAATATATTTTTGGGAAAAAAATATTACCAGCAATACATTTTTGGAAAAAAAATATTACCAGCAATACATTTTGGAAAAAAAATATTACCAGCAATACATTTTGGAAAAAAATGTTACCAACAATTCATTTTTGAAAAAAATATTACCTGAAAAAAAAAATATTACCAGCAATAGATTTTTGGAAAAAAAAAATATTACCAGCAATAGATTTTTGGAAAAAAATTATTACCAACAATAGATTTTTGGAAAAAAATATTACCAGCAATAGATTTTTGGAAAAAAATATTACCAGCAATAGATTTTTGGGAAAAAAATATTACCAGCAATACATTTTGGAAAAAAAACATTAGATTAAATAACACATTGAGTTTGATATGCCGTAAAACAAAACAAACCGAACCAAACCGAAATAAGCAATAAAATGCTGGGATTATTCGTAATAAATATAGGCTAATGATATTGTATCGGGCCGAAGTTCCTGCTATGTTGTCTTGTATTTAGAACTAAGGCAGGTGAAAGCGAATGTCAAAAGTAACATTCGTTTATTTCAGCTGGTACATCGGCGCCAAAAAAATGCGGAACAATCAGAGATGATTTCGTTTTGAGATATGAAAGACAGCATTTCAAAGTAGTGAAAAACCAATGCTTCAATTAACGTGTGACAACGCATACTGACATATGTGATCACTTTAAAAAGCTGTCCGTGTAGCGCAAATAGAACATGTAGTCGTTGAAGAAAAATCATATGAAATGATGCAACATTTCTCAGATCCTTCCAACTGGGATTCCTTCTTGGACATAAGTTTGAAACAGGCGCTCGATGACATTTTCTTTTTGGTTCTTATTCATTATTTTCGTTATATCATCCATCAGTGAGCACCACACACACACATTGTCTCGTGACCCCTTTTTACCTTGAATGTTTTCAGTATTATTACACAGCAAGTAGAACCCTAAGTTATCTACATACATGAAATGCAAGATGTCTCCCAATAATTTTTGTCTGAATTTCTAGAATGAGGAGTTATCATTATTTACACTATTTATATTCGGACTATTATCCTCATCTTTATTGTTGTTATCGCAACGTTTCGGCCGCTGTGCCCTCCGGCCTTCCTCAGGTTTATATCGATCTGGGTAACCTACAGAGAATTCTGAACTGGACCCTTTATTTAATCTACGTGGGGTAGACTGTTCTCGTTCCACTGTTCATGCCTAGGGACATCGTCTAGTTCTTATTTTATTAGTACTGTTCAGTTATTGCTCGCCCGTCTCTACTGAGTACAACCAGACACTGCCCAACCCAGGAATTGAACTTACAAACATTGTCACCAAATTCACAAACCAACATTTTTATGCACTAGGGCAATTTTTATGCAATAGGACAAATTTAGAGACTAGAACAACTTACTACAGCAAATTATCCCTAGGACAATTTGCTGTAGTAAACTTAGAGCCTTGAACATAACCTAGCTACTGATTAGGTTGCAACTACTGCTGCTGCCCATGTTTTGATTGCTGCTGCTGCTACGGCCGAAATACCGTGATGAGGACAGTAGTTTGAATATAAATAGTGTAAATAATGTAAGATATAGCTTTTATTTATGTAGCTTTTTTTGTTATTTGTTATTCATTTTTCTACTGTTTTAACTGCTGCAAGGGAATATCAGTTGATTAATTCTACGGTTTATCAACCTTTTTTCACATTATTTAAAGCCAAAAAATATCTTGAGACCATAAGAATTTGGGGGTGAAGATAATAATGGTTTAGTGATACAAATCTTACTGGTTAGCCCATAGTTTGGATGGAGAAAAGGTAGATTCATGACTTTCCCAATGACACTTGCGCGTAAGTGAATATAATTGAAACTCCGATTAACAATTCCATTACACCACACGCACATCCAAGCTTACAGCACTTGATATTCCCAAGTGGTCACCCATCTAGGTACTGACCAGACTCGACGTTGCTTAACTTCGATGATCGTACGGGAACCGGTGTTTCAACGTAATATATCCGTAAGGAGTAGTGAGCCAATAGCGTTTTCGTGCTATTTATAATATTTGTCAGATGTCTTCGTACTGAGAAACTATCAAAGAAATATATATATATATATATATATATATATATATATATATATATATATATATATATATATATATATATATATATATATATATGTACAACTCGTCAACCTGTAAACAATTCTTTGATCATGGCTTATGAAAGGCAAAATTGCTCAGACGACCTTGAACAATTTCTGTTCAAATTTACTCCAGAAACCAGATGTTCCAAACCGTAAGAAACCTAATATTGTCAGGTAAATAAATATCATGGGCATATATTAATAGAACGTCATCGGAAGTATGTTGATTGCTTGTGTAAAGTACTTTGGAAGGGACCAAACTCGAGAAATTCTATGAAAATACATACCATCACTCCATTAAGAGCCGATTCCATTGGTAATTCAAATTTTTGTTTATAATAAACATTATTAAATGTAAAATAGCATTAATTGTTGATAAGACGTCTGATTTTTATTATTTTACCTATTGGTAAAGAGAGATTTTTTTTTGATTGTGTTAGATGTTTTTTTAAGAGATTTAAACATTCTTCAACCGGAACGTTGGTGAAAAGGGATTTTATATCTATGGCCATGAGTTTGTCAGTCATATTTATTTCCCTTAGTTTTTCAACTAGGCTGCCTGAGTGAAATTCAGAACCGAAATGGTGTCCGTGATTGTAGAGCTTCTCTATGTAGTGAATTATGTTTTCGATTCAAATGATTGTCTCAAATCAAATGGCGTTCAATGACATTCCTGGGATCGTTGGAAGAATATCATCGCTTCTCCTTTGACGTTCTGCGGCAGAATTTCCATAATATAATCGCTACTCACAAAACTTTTATGTGACGTTTATTGTTGCTGTCGTATTATTATTATTATTATTATTATTATTGACAGTTTGTTTTTAATTTTTTCGTTTTATTCATTCATGGAGACGTATTTAATATTATTATTATTATTATTATTATTATTATTATTATTATGAAGAGTGTTTTTAATGTTCTCTTTTGTTCACTCATAGAGACAAGTTTGTTATTATTATTACTGTTATTATTATTATTATTATTATTATTAAAAGTTCTTAATATTCTCTTTCGCTCACTCGTGGAGGCAAGTTTATTATTAGTATCATTATTACTATTATTCATGAAATTCTAAAGACCATTTTGTGGAATTTTTTCTCATTCCCAAATCGTCTGTTAGAATCTCCCGCTCTGTTTCCCTATATTTAGGTCTGCTATCAGACGCACACTTAATCTTCAATCTGAACGCACCAAGGTTCGCACACTGTTTACATTTGCAACTTTTTTTTTGTATTTTTGGCTGCCCAATTCTTACGCCATCTTGTACTTCTCACTCTTCTTTGATCCACCCGTATCACACAGAAACGCTTGATTTCCTCATAGCATGTTCACCATAAGTCATTTTTAATAAGGTTAACATTTCACTATCCTTTCACATCAATCTTCAGAGAAAAATTGATGTTAATTCGCTGCTCTAGATTCATTTCACTAATTTTCCGCCAACAGTATAACATGAACATGTACAACTTCCTCTACTCTGTTCAAAACAACAAAGACGACGATATTAGTTAGGATATGTCAACGAATAATCAGAATTCTTAGTCTTGCAACTTCAACCGCTGAGGCACTGTAAAATGTTCAAAACAACAAAGATGACTATGTTAATCAAAATAAATAAAAAATAATGGCAATACTTGACCTCCTAAGTTCAATTGTTGATATATCTGGTTTTCTTAACAAAGGCTCTGACATAATAAAATATAAGAATCAGACCACGAAGGTCACTACGGTCGAAAAGTTTCTTCCATGAACCTATTAAAAATTTCAGATAATATTTGTTTCAGCACATATATAAATTCAAAAATGTATAAACTTTTATTTATTTTTAAATGTACAAACGATGACTTTTTCTGTCTTATCAAAATATATTACTCATTGTTATTTTCCTAAATTGTAGCCTTGATTCTTCTCTTTTCACGTGACGTGTTCCTTCAGGCTGTAGACGATCATGGCTCTTCACAACCTCCTATCTTTTAATCCTCTAATTTTGACCCTTTACCCTCTGTTCTGTTCTGACATATATTCAGACATTCTTGCTACCTTACCTTCGCTTGCCTTCAGTATGTCCTGTGAGTGTCAAATTCTCCAGGCCTTCTTTCTTCATTATGTGTCTCATTAATTTTAACTGTCTCTTTCTGATTTTAAGTATGATTTCTCTTGCAGTCTCTGTTTTCCTTAAAAACGTCCTCGTTGCTTGTTTATTCTATCCGTCGTTTTTTTTTTAGCATTTGTCGATTGAACACAACGTCACTGTTGCTTCAAGTCTCCTCTTCATTTGTGAAGATATTGTTTAGCATTCACTGTCAGATATAATATTAATTATCCAACACTCTTTTCTTTGTTTTTAACGAAATTTTCTTAATACTTCGCTTAGTTTTTTTTTTGTTTTTTTGTTTTTTTGGAATGCGTCTTTCTCTGCTGCTATGCGCCTTCGAATGTCTGTGTTTTCTAGTACGCTACCAAGATATGTAAATTTCTGTACCTGTTTAACTTGAAGTCTGCAATGCACAGCTCACACTTTTTTTCTGACAATAATACATTCTATCTAGTTACAGTTAACAGTCCTTTCTTCTTGTTTTCTATTCTCTTATCTTTCAGTTTTCCTTCTGGGTCTGCTATCAACACAGAGTCATCTTCCTATCTTATGTTAAAATTATGACCGCTAATAAAAATTGCTGTTTAATTCCTTAGTTTATTTAAGATTGTCTCTCTATAGAATATGAAATATGAATTCTAGTCTCGCCAGAAGCTATTTCTTTGATCCGAATCCCTGTAATTCAATCAGCAACTCCTGTGGTGGAGTTAAGAGTTCTTGTCACACCTTAAGCTCTTTTTAATCCAAATTCTTCCTTTATAGAAGTGATAGTTCGAGTTTAGTTAGGTGTTTCTTTGATCCGAATTCCTTCAGTTTTATTTATTTTTTTTTTATATATATACTGTGTCCCTTCAGGACGTTGGCGATCAGGACCATCTACAACTTCCTGTCCTTTGTAATCTTATGTAATGTTTGTCTCCTTACTATCCTTCCTAAAATTAATTTTATCATTATCTTCCACCCTACAACCTCTTTCCCACAGACGAAACGTCGCAAGCCTCTCACTACTCTATCGCTATTTCCATGGAAAATATTCAAATTAGTTCCTCCAGTTCTAAACGCCACGGCTAAGACCCACCATGTCACACATATTGTAGCCAACCACCCTCATTCGCTTCGTACTCCATTGGTGAAAGTCCAACTCGAGAAGTTTCTTCCCAGGGACCGCCATTTTTTTGGAAACCGACTCCCAAGAGTATGCTTCCCCGATCACTTCACTCTTAACCTGTTCAAGTCTAAGGTTAACTGTTGTTTTTCCCACATATCCTCAATCGGGTATAACTAATTAAATAGCTTTTACGTTGGCGCCAGATAATTCGAATTGCCATGTTCTGCCTTAGCGAGGAACAAGTCAGCTGAATTCAATGTTTTTATGAGTACCATAAAAATTTTAACACATTTACCTTTTGCTGAATGACGAGTTTTTCTTTTCTGTTTCTTTTTACAGACATGTTATCTGGTGATAAAGGAAAAGTGGTCAATCAGTTACAACAATCCTTCAAGAGCCCACTCAAACCAAAAGGAATTTTAAATGTCCTCAACAGGTGCGAAAACTTATTAGTATTTTTTTTTTGTTGTTGGTTTTGCTTAGCGGCATATCAACCTCGTGGCTGAAATAAAATAATCTGAACACAATGTTATGACTTCAACTAAATATATTTTAAACGCAATTGCATACTTTCAGCTACTAATAAAATGTATTGCTTGTTATTTCGCTTTAAAAATGTATTGTTGGTCAATTTACTATAAATATGCATTGTTGGTCCTTTTTTATATAAAAATATATTGCTTTCATTTTTACTACAAAAAAAGTATTTTTATACTTTCATAGTGTTTTGTTTAGGGTTCAATATTTGTCCATAGCTGGGACCCTAACAGGTGCTACCACCCCAAGTCAGAGTGGACCTGGTAACAACAATTAATAGGTGATTCCACGCTCCTCGAAACCTACAATATCTCGATCAGAGGCTTTGTCTGAGTTGGTTGCACCTGTTAGGGCCCCAGCTATGGGGAAAATAGTGAACACCCAAACAAAAAAAAACATTTTGAAAATATAAAAATTACATATTATCTATAGTAAAAGGATCAACAATACATTTCTAAAACAAAAAACAAGATGAAAATATTAGCCAGGATAAGTCAACGAATAATAAGAATAATTGGTCTTGCAACTTCGACCGTTAAGTCACTGAATAATGACAGTGCCAATCAAAATTAATAAACAATAAGGTCAATACTTCACCTCCCAAGTTCAACCGTTGATAATTCTGAATTAATTCTGAATGCATCCTGCAAAAAATCCATGAATGCTATTGAATTCCTGGTTGCTCAAATACCTGGTATTTATTTTATGACAATAGATGATGATAATGATAATGCAAATATATTGTTGAACAAAATATATTGGATATTATGCTTTAGGATAATGACACTTAAATGAATGGAAACATTATAAAGTCCTTGGATATTATGCTTTAGGATAATGACACTGTAAATGCATTGTTGTACGTTATGAATGGAAACATTATAAAGTCCTTGGATATTATGCTTTAGGATAATGACACTGTAAATGCATTGTTGAATGTTAAATGGAAACATTATAAAGTCCTTGGATATTATGCTTTAGGATAATGACACTGTAAATGCATTGTTGTACGTTATAAAGTGAATGAAAAAAACATTATAAAGTCCTTGGATATTATGCTTTAGGATAATGACACTGTAATTGCATTGTTGTACGTTATGTAAAACATTATAAAGCCTTGGATTGTTGGATAATGACGTTTGCATTGAATGAATAAAAACATTATAAAGTCCTTGGATATTATGCTTTTGCAGGATAATGACACTTATAAATATTATGCACTGTTATTGTTATAAAGTCCTTGGATATTATGTTTTAAGATAATGAATTGAAATGGAAATATTATAAAGTCCTTTAGGATATTATGCTTTTAGGATAATGACATTTTTGCATTGTTGTACGTTAAATGGAAAATTATAAAGTCCTGTAATTGCATTGTTGTACGTTATGAATGGAAACATAATTGTTGTACGTTATGAATGGAAAGATTATAAAGTCCTTGGATATTATGCTTTTATGAATGGAAACATTATAAAGTCCTTGGATATTATGCTTTAGGATAATGACACTGTAATTGTATTGTTGTAATGAATGGAAAGATTATAAAGTCCTTGGATATTATGCTTTAGGATAATGACACTGTAATTGTTGTACGTTATGATTGTTGTACGTTATGAATTGTATTGTTGTGCGTTAACATTATAAAGTCCTTGGATATTATGTAATTGCATTGTTGTACGTTATGAATGGAAACTTATAAAGTCCTTGGATATTATGGATAATGACAAACATTATAAAGTCCTTGGATATTATGCTTTAGGATAATGACCGTAATTGTATTGTTGTACGTTATGTAATTGGATAATGACATTGTTGTTGTACGTTATGAATGGAAACATTATAAAGTCCTTGGATATTATGCTTTAGGATAATTACACTGTAATTGTATTGTTGTATTATGAATGGAAACATTATAAAGTCCTTGATATTATGCTTTAGGATAATGACACTGTAATTGAATGAATGGAAACATTATAAAGTCCTTGGATATTATGCTTTAGGATAATGACATTAATTGGATAATGAATTGCACACTGTTATTCCTTGGATATTATTTTAGTAATGACACTGTAATTGCATTGTTGTACGTTATGAATGGAAACATTATAAAGTCCTTGGATATTATGCTTTAGGATAATGACACTGTAATTGTATTGTTGTTGAATACGTTGGATAATGACACTGTGAATTATAAAGTCCTTGGAAATGAATGGAAACATTATAAAGTCCTTGGATATTATGCTTTAGGATAATGACACTGTAATTGTTGTTGTTGAATTGTACGTTTGTTGTACGTTATGAATGGAAACATTATAAAGTCCTTGAATGGGATAATGACACTGTATTATTGTTGTAAAATGTCCTTTAGGATATTATAATTGCTTTAGGATAATTAATGTATAAAACATGACATTAATTGTTGTTGTACGTTATGAATGGAAAACATTATAAAGTCCTTGGATATTATGCTTTAGGATAATGACACTGTAATTACATTGTTGTATTGTGAATGGAAACATTATAAAGTCCTTGTTATGCTTTATGATAATGACACTGTATGGAATGGAAACATTATAAAGTCCTTGGATATTATGCTTTAGGATAATGACACTGTAATTGCATTGTTGTACTTATGTAATTGTATTTATGTTGTAATTGTATTGTTGTTGCGTTATGTTATGAATGGAAACGTTATGAATGGAAACATTATAAAGTCCTTGATATTATGCTTTAGGATAATGACCCTGTAATTGTATTGTTGTACGTTATGAATGGAAACATTATAAAGTCCTGGATATTATGCTTTAATGGAAAATGGATTATAAAGTCCTTTAGGATATTATGCATTTTGTACGTTATGAATGGAAACATTATAAGTCCTTGGATATTATGATAATGAATGATTGTTGTGCGTTATGAATGGAAAGATTATAAAAGTCCTTATTATGTTTAGGATAATGCAATTGTTTGTTGTACGTTATGAATGGAAACATTATAAAGTCCTTGGATATTATGCTTTAGGATAATGACACTGTAATTGTATTGTTGTACGTTATGAATGGAAACATTATAAAGTCCTTGGATATTATGCTTTAGGATAATGACATGGAAACATTATAAAGTCCTGGATATTATGCTTTAGGATAATGACCCTGTAATTGTCCTTGGATATTTTATTGTTGAATGGAAACGTTATGAATAATGACACTGAAACATTGTAAAATGTCCTTGGATATTATGCTTTAGGATAATGACACTGTAATTGTGTAATTGGAAACATTGTTGTACGTTATGAATGGAAACATTATAAAGTCATTATAAAATGTCCTTGGATATTATGCTTTAGGATAATTACACTGTAATTGCATTGTTGTACGTTATGAATGGAAACATTATAAAGTCCTTGGATATTATATTTAGGATAATGACATTGAATTGTATTGTTGTACGTTATGAATGGAAACATTATAAAGTCCTTGGATATTATGGATAATGACACTGTAATTGTAGGATAATGACAAACATTATAAAGTCCTTGGATAATTGTATTGTTTGTTGTTGTACGTTATGAATGGAAACATTATAAAGTCCTTGGATATTATGCTTTTAGGATAATTACCTTGGATATTATGCTTTAGGATAATGACACTGTAATTGTTGTACGTTATGAATAATTGTCCTTGGATTGTTGTTATGACGTTATGAATGGAAACATTATAAAGTCCTTGGATATTATGCTTTAGGATAATGACACTGTAATTGTATTGTTGTACGTTATGAATGGAAACATTATAAAGTTTAGGATAATGACCTTGTAATTACATTGTTGTATTATGAATTTATAAAGTCCTTGGATAATGACATTTGGAATTGCTTTATGACATTGTTTGTATTGTTGTACGTTATGAATGGAAACATTATAAAGTCCTTGGATATTATGAGGATAATGAAATTGTATTGTTGTGCGTTATGAATGGAAACATTATAAAAGTCCTTGGATATTATGCTTTAGGATAATGACATTGTTGTGCGTTATGAATGGAAACTGTAATTGCATTGTTGTACGTTATGAATGGAAACATTATAAAGTCCTTGGATATTATAATGACTTTTGTAGGATAAATGGAAACATTATAAAGTAATTGCATTGTTGTTGTTGTTATGAATGGAAACATTATAAAGTCCTTGGATATTATGACTTTAGGATAATGACACTTGTAATTACATTGTTGTGTATGTTATGAATGGAAACATTATAAAGTCCTTGGATATTATGCTTTAGGATAATTTAATTGTAGATAATGAAACATTATAAAGTCCTTGGATACAATTGCATTGTTGTACGTTATGAATGGAAACATTATAAAGTCCTTGGATATTATGAGGATAATGAAAATTGTATTGTTGTACGTTATTAAAAGTCCTTGATATTATGCATTAATTGCATTGTACGTTATGAATGGAAACATTATAAAGTCCTTGGATATTATGCTTTAGGATGACACTGTAATTATATTGTTGTACGTTGGAAACATTATAATGGAAATGACACATTATTAAAAGTCCTTGGATATTATGCTTTAGGATAATGACACTGTAATTGTCCTTAGATATTGTTTGTACGTTATGAATGGAAACATTATAAAGTCCTTGGATATTATGCTTTAGGATAATGACACGTGTAATTGTATTGTTGTACGTTATGAATGGAAACATTATAAAGTCCTTGGATATTATGCTTTAGGATAATGACATTGTTGTATTGTTGTTGTACGTTATGAATGGAAACATTATAAAGTCCTTGGATATTATGCTTTAGGATAATGACACTGTAATTGCATTGTTGTACGTTATGAATGGAAACATTATAAAAGTCCTTGGATATTATGCTTTAGGATA